CCCTCAGAGTGTAACAGTTTTCTTTAGACACATGGACATCTAACACAAGACGGTGAAAACACTAGAAAGCATCTCTATCTCTGTCTACCAATCTCTAGACAACATCCTCTCATGGTGGAGATTTCAGTATGAAGTAACATTGTGAGTGCTGGGTTACCTTTTGCTTTCCTCCCTTTTCTGCCTTCATGTAGATCATGTCCTCCTTTGGGACCCACCAGTTCTCACTAGCCTCACAAACACAGCAGCTCTGCTCTGCCCTCTTGTTGAGAGCGTAGCAGAGAAAATCAAGCGGAGAAGTCAGGCTGCCATTAATTCCCCACCTTTGCACTGTGACAAAGGGCAGAAATGCAAGTAGGTGCCAGGCTAGCACAGAAGAGTAACAAGGCAAAAGCCAGTTTCGGGTGGGGATGACAGTTTAGAATCATGATACTGCACCTATACAGGTGAAGCATTAGTTTAGTCATTTGTGCAGAAAGGCTGAGAAGTCACTAAACACTGCAGAACTAACACTGAAGTCTAGGTTACTATTCATTACCAGAAAATACCCTTCAACCAATTAAACCCCAAACAAAAACCACCACCACCACCAGTTCTGATGCATCTGATTCATTCTGCAGGTCCAGCCTGTCTGAACCTAGTCCCGGCTCAGCACCAAAACAGTGCTGGGCTGCCTTTTTGCAGAGCTATTTGAATCTGTCTACACTGCACCCCCCAGATTTCATGATACCAGAAACCCCAGTGTTTGGTGTATGCCATGCTATTTTAACTCCAGAATAAGCAGGTACTGACAACTAATTATGAGAAAACTTGATACATTTCCAGGAATTTTCAGCCACCAGCCCAGGAAGGTAATGGCTTTTTTTTTTTTTTTTTTTTTAAAAAATCCTCTTTTAACCAATACACCAATTTGTAAAGCTCAAAAGAATTATTTAGTCTTTCTTCACAGCTACCCAAATCTCTACAGATAGAACATGGAAAGGTATTACCATTTTGGTAGTGATAGAGGAAAGAAGGAAAAAAGATGGCTTTGTGATTTAAAAACTAATGGCTGCTTCATTCATTCTCCTGTTAAATACCCAAAGCTTTTTTTTAGTACATAATGCTTAATTTAAGTTTCAAATGATTGGTTGAGATTATAGAGATTTGTTCAGCTACCAAAGCACACTCATCATCTCAGACTCACATAATGAACAGCATTACTCCCACAGTTATCTACTAAGAGGAGAAACATACATATCAAACCTGAGTAGGCCATGTGCACACAGCACAAGAGATGCTGATAATGCATGACACTTGCTTTTTGGCAGTTCAAACATTTCTAAATAGCAATGTGATAACCCAGAAAAAAACCCCACAACTTCTGCCCCTCAAAAACGCAGGACTGATTTAGATACAATTTAGAAATAAATGCATGACAACACAGGCCTGATTCTGTCAGTAAGACAAGAAAGAGAACACAGGCATTTATAGATAAAATATTGCACATTCTGAATGCTTGCAGGATTTTCCTCCTTTAATAGGAGCAATTCAATATGGCCACTTAACTTTTCATAAGCCCTACAGCATGCATGAGCATTATTTTTCCATAATATTTTCAGTAAAATGACAACTTCATTATATTTTATAATATTGAAAGAAACCTCAAAAATGGTTATGAGGTTTTACTGTTTATATCCCCTGCTAATGTATCAGAAATCCAAGTCCAGACTTCACCTGTTATAAAGGATGACTGAAAATTTGAGGGTATGGTTGCTTATGTCTCTCCACAACTGATGAAAAGCAGTTGTGTTGAATTGAAAACTCCTCCTTTATCAAAACCATTGTATACCGAAGTTATAGATATCAATTCTTTGAACCATGCAAAAAAATACAGCTCTCCCCCTAAAAACAGTTGAGGTTTCATTTGTTTGATCCTGAGTCATCACTAGGCCCACAGAGTCTTAATGTTTCAAAGCTGAAAGCCTTTATGTTTCCACACAAAAGGAAAGAAGAAAAAAACACTGACTTGAAAGTCCTCTTTATCAATTATAAAAATGGCCATAATACTATTAAAACAAGAACAGTAGTAACATTTTGCATCTATTTTGACCAAAGAATTTTATCAATTCTTACAAAGGAAAAGAGGTGATTATAGCTATATAGCCTGTCTTTATCACTTCCCTACCAGAGTCAGACATTTATGACCCTGGTCAAAATTAGGGCAACACAAATGTACCCATTCCAAAGAAGTGTTCTAGCAAGAAATATCTGGTTTATGGATGAAAAGTGGCTAACTGAAGTGTGAGGAACAAGCAAAACCACAGCACAAGCAATAGACAGAAAAGTATGTTTATCTTCCTGATTTGGTAGCAAGTTAAAACAAAATCAGAAATGGTAGGAGGAGGGATGTAAAGGTTGTTATGAATACCTACCAGCTGTTACCAGCATAAGATTTTGTCACAAATTCACTATTACAGCTCTTCCCCTAAAAGCCATTTACGGGCAACTGAGAAGTTTCTCATGCTACCTGTTCCAAGTACTTCCTTCTCAGCAGAAACATTTATACCCAATTACACTTGTAATTGGTAGTTACATTTCTCCAAACATGCAATTTTTTTTTTAAATCTTTTAACACATATCCTGTAAGTACTGCTATCACTCGTTAAACAAATAACACTTCCTATATTAAAGAATTGAAGAAAATTGTTTGAAGTTTCACAGAAAAAAAAAAAGTCTGCAGATGTATCATTACTTACAAGGGAGTTATCACAAATGCTACTTTCTTTTCTTTTTTGTGGTCGTTCATTCTGTTTCACAAAGAGGTTTAAAACTATTACATCTCAAATGAAAGCCTATAAAAACATATTGAAAGATACAACATGCTTAAAAAGAGTTTTCTTGGTTTCACAAGCTTTTCTTGTTTCTCTTTTATGAAAAGCTGAGAAATTAAAATTAGCATTTGAAAGTATTCAAAAGATTATTTAAACTTCTCATTTAGGTGTTGGATTCCACAGGTGCGATTTCTCATTAAGTGCAGTGAAACCTTGAAATCAACCTCGCTAGGCAACCTCTGTTTTTAACATTATAAAGCAAAACAGTAAAATCCAGCTTTCTCTATAACTGAAGATACTCTTAGACAAATAATCAACTAAAAGGTAGAGCCTAAGATGAGCACAGAAAGAACACACTGCATATCTGTTCTCTTACCTTACATACTGAGGATATCGAGGTTCTAGAACTTCTGGTTAAGAAAGAACCTTAATTCATACCACCTCACTGTGTGGTCAACTCTTCTGCCATTATTATACTCATTATAACTTGTGTTAGAGGTCTTTTCGTTTTAATTTTAAAAAACATTAATAAAAAGCACATAAAGTGCACTGCTGAGAACGCTTGAATATCAGGACAAAGTAACAGGATTTCTTTTTGCAATAAAGCTACTAATTCTTGAAATAGAAAACAAAAGTATGTTGGTACAGCATTTTGCTTCTCTCAAACTAAACTTCTTAAAAGACAAATACTGTTACAGGAGAATACTTTTTCCAAACAATTATTGAAATTGCAGTTTAAGTTGACTTATAACAATGTAAGCTTTAGGGAAACATCTATTTATACCCATTCTGGCTTCCAGTGGACCAGAACTCTTCGTTTACTGCTAATTCACAGAAATGAACATATTATCAGTCATTTTGCTGACTAATATCTATACAAAGCAGAATCTCTCAAGAAGTACTTTGAACTGAACCAGATAAAGTGCAATTTCTTACTTGATAGATTTTGCTGGTATGTACAGCATCCCTCAAGATTTTACCACTCAAATAGCAATTTAAGATAATCCCTCAATTTCTAACTTTCCCCCGATTAAATAAAAAAAAAAAAGAAACTAGAGATTGTAATAAGCACTTAACCTTCAGAATTATTACAGGAGTACCTTTAATATGACAGGTAGTACCACTAAAAAACAACAAAAAAAAAGAATTAGAAAACCCACACACTCGCTAAATACACACAATAAACCCAAACTAATTTGGAACGCCACTGTCTAAAGCAAACACATGCCTCACTGCATTCAAAGCTTATTTTTTAAATTTGATTTTCCTTACAAACATATGTGAAGATGTTAATTCTAAGTGTTTAGTATTTTGTATCTCAACATAGAATAAACACCTTTCTGCTTACAGCTTCCCTAAAATAAATTTACGAGTAATAATACAAATGACAGTTTCAGGAGATGAAGAAAAAGACATTGAAAGTGGCGTTACCACCCATTCCAAACAGTAGTTTCTGAAATACAAAGCTTTTCAACTTACAGGCCTCTAAGAACCATGATAAGAAAGAGGAGACACTAAAATCAAAAGAAATTATATTTTGCACTGCAATACAGATTCATGTAATCTGTGCAAAGAACACTATTTTAGAACATCATGTTCTGAATTATTTCACTGATTTTTTTAAAATCAATACTTATCTATGCAGAAATCTTTGTGAAAGCCATGGTAATATTAGCAATTAAAAAAAACGGCAGAGGGAAAAGTAAAATTATTAATCTACTGGGCAACCTGTTTTTGAAGTTTACCTGTATTGTTTATCACTGACAATCCTTAAGCATTAACTAGAAGAGACAACCTTTTTTACTTTACAGTCCAAGATCGTCAATACTGAACAACACTTACAACCCAGGTGTCCCACAAATAAAGACCATCAACTGCACAAAAGTATATTAGACAATATTTATCTATGTATTTTGTTTCGTTGATAGTTTTAGTTTGTTAAAATAGAGTCCTGACCCAATTCAGTTCCTTGAATAACTCAAGCCACATTTAGATTATCACATAAATGGTGACTTTAAAAAAAAAAAAAAAAAAAAAAAAAAAAAAAAAATCTATCTTATCCATGACATTAGACTAAAATTCTGCAGAACAATGACATTTTATATTCTGTGCCATAACTAAAATTTGAAGAAATTTATTTATTAGCATGCTAGACCTAAATATAATTAATACTTGATGCACTGTATTTACCATTCTGTAATCCCATCCATAGTTGCTTATGATCTTTTTTTTGCATCTCATTGATGACTTGACTTTTGTGCTTTAAAGCATCTGCTTCTTTTATACAAGCCATAAAATGAGCTTCAATCACATCCTTAGAATGGCAGTGTAGAAGATCCTTTTCTGGAAAATTCTACAAAGAGAAGAGATAGATCAAGAGAAATAAATGCATCACATACCTTAGAAGATGAAGAATAAATTATAATTTTAATCAGGTTTATGTTTATACAAAAGCAGCACACTGGAATCTTCTACTTATGAAAGAAGGTAACAACCATTCTCCCACTCTGTTAACAAGAACTGTTTTGCAGTGAAAAAAGTTTCAGGAAAAACAAAAGTTGAACAATTTTCTGTAAAATCAGAATTTACTTTCTATCACCCAACCTCAACTTCATAAATACATTTAATACACCAGTGAATGTATTTAGGCTCTTATGTCCAAAATTCGTGAGACAGAGTTTTAACATGTCTTCAAGCAGATATTGAAATCTATGGTAATGAACAGAAGAAAAGAGGGCAAAGTAAGTGACAAGTACCCAATTCCTATTAACTCTCAATGGCAGTTTAGCACCCATTTCCATGCAGACCTTTGAAAGTTTCCTCCAACTATCATCATCCACCTATATGAACTATAGCATATATTAAGCTTACAAAGATTTTTCCTTAAGAGTTACTGGAAACCCCTGTCAGCTCCAACTTTACCTAATACACATGCCTATTGCTATCCTGCATGACTTGATTCTATACCCCTTTTATTTGGTCAGAGTTGGCACACTATTCAGCATCACAGATGCAGTTACCACTCCTCAGATAACTTTTATCCCCTCAGTAAATGACAACTACCTTTACAATTCATTTATTAAGAATGTTAATTAATGAATTAAAAATGCATTATTAAGAAATTATAATTTTTTATAATATGCTCATTCAGGTAGAAAAGAAGATTTCTTTGCAAATTAAGTAATCAGAAGTTCAGTGCTACACAGGTATACAGTTAGGGTTGTTCTTCCTCTTTTTTTTCCCAACACTTAGTGTCACTTGCCATTTTCCATAATACAAGCATTTGTTACCACAAATTAATTGGCTTTAGTTTTCAAACTAAAACCCAGAATATTTTATCCCCTCCTTATTAATCTTTTCACAGTTGCTTATGACCGTGCTGAAGAGTACAAACCCCCAGAGCCAAGCCAGAGTGGCATCATTCGTACTTCTCTTTCTAACGAAGGCTTGTCACTTTTTTTTTTATACTTTAATTCTCATCTGCTATTCCACAAGAGGACCTTTCTTCTTAACCCATTACAAATTGGCTATTTAAAAAAAGCTTTTATGAGGGACTGTCAAAACCATTTTAGAAATATAAATACATATAACAGGATATTTTTAACCACTTTTACAACACAGTTAACATGTCACAGTAGGAGCAATATAATGTTGGAAAATCACATGCCTTCCCTCTTCCACATAAACCCAGGAAAAATAGCGAAGACTGCTTCAAGCTACAGGAACTCAAAATATCCAAGAAGCACTAACAGTTGGCAGTATGAAAGAGAGCTGGGGATTGCCTTACCTGAAGGTAATTCTGAGAACACGAATGACAGTTCCCTCATAATTAGGTTACAGAAAAGAGTGGGAAATTAATTAATGGAATTTCATATAGTGATTCCTCCTTATGACAGTGAGTCCAGACTCTGGAAACTGTGGATCAAAAGGATAAGTATCTTCCAAAAACAGGAGTATAAAGGGACAAGACAACTGCTAAAACCTTTTGCACTGAAGTATACATGGTTTGGCGTTGAACTCACAAAGGGAGTGCTATTGCTACTTAGGACTGATGTATGTGGAGCTGACTAGAAATCCAAGGACAGAGATAAAGCTTGTTTCTCAAATGGGGATGGCTAACTAGAAAGACATTAAAGAGGACAGAACAGAAAGGAAAATTCTCCTTCCAGGGCAGACCTCGCTCCTTTTCTTCCCTACAAAGCTGAGTGTCTCAGCATAATTGGGCCCAAGATGAATGGAAAAACATTACTGGGACTGTTACTTGCCAGCTGATGTGTACAGGCCCATAGAATACTTTTAGAAGTTTAACTTACTTGCTCAGATAAAAAAAGTAAAGTGTGGTAACCAATCCAGAAGAAAAGAACAGTCAGAAATAGCATACTCTGAGATCAAAAAAGTTCTTTACATCCAGGAATTCAAAAGTAAGACATGGACATCCCTCAGAGAACGAGACAATGGAATATACCAAATGCCAAGTAATACAGGAACCTAGAAGCTTTCACCGTCAAAAGCTGAAGTTTTAGCTACGTTTATGAAAACAACAGTTTTGTTACAAAAAATATTGAACTGTAGGGTCCTTTTTTTGGACATTCCTGTCTTTCTACAGGTAGGCATCTCCCTGATGACTTTCTTCTAATGAATTTCAAATTACAGGAAATGTCACTCCCTGGGGATGTGTTCCAGAGAACACACATGGTGTGGTCTGCAGAAAGCAAAGAAATGTTTAAAATTGGTCAAAACTAGCTAAACTAGTGGAAAGAATCTAGTCACAGTAGTACAAAGGTGTGGCACGATTAATTTTCCCAGCTTCTAAGACATAACACTGTGGAAGACTGGAAAACACTCCTCCAATCTCAGTGCTGTCTACTCTTTTCTTTATAAGAAAAACATTGACACATATCTATGCAGTACTGTGAGTAGATGCTGAAAAACCTGAACATGAAAGTGGTAACTTGGAAAACAACACTGCTGCATCTACAAGCAGCATATGAAAGAATTTCACCTACATGAGATTACCAACAGAAAATATGGCACCCTCACTGATTCATAAACTAGGGCACAGAATAATAAGTTCTGTATTTAAATATAGAACATGTATGCTTGTATTTTCTTTTCTTTTTTTTTCTTTTTTTTTTTTTTTTTTTAATTATACTTGCCTTCTTTCTACTTAAGGAAATAACTTTATTCAGGACCCTGAAGAAAGAGACAATTGTAAACAAGCTGGTAGCCACCCTTGGCTATACAACTATGAGATTTGCAGAAAGTTTTAACAGATCCCATAAGCAGCTTTAATTCAGGTATTCATACTGGTGGCGTTTTACTCCCTCAATGTTCTGTATCTTTGAAAGAAAAGTTATTAAGGGTTGATTCTGATTTTCTTAGAAAGCTCAAGTAATACTGGTTTTGTTTCACGTACCAGCAGACACTTACAGCATAAACTTTGTCATGAAGAAGTAGGTATCATCTGTACAGACAGGAGTACTAAATGACCTCTCACTTAAAACTGTTCTAAAAACATTGCAGGTAATTTCAACAGTCTGGTTTCATAACTCCATTCCACCCATATTTATCAGTTCTAGTTCACAAAACATCTGTTTATACTGTGACAGTCTAGTTGCATTAGGCTACATTTACAGAAAATTACACCAATAACAGGGTATTAAAAACCATAAGGAACTTATCCAGTGGCAGGGGCAGCATTCATATATTTGTGTTTAGTTACCATCAGTGGTCTTTTTTACAAAAAAGATTAATCTAAAAAAAAAAAAACAACCCTCATTTATGCTTCTGGCTTCCACATGTCTCCTAGCAGTTCCACAATTTATCCATATGCTACATGGAAAAGTACTTCCTTTTCACTCCACCTCACACAATTTTTAACTAAGAAAATGAAGATGACAGCTGTTATACAAAACCAGATGCAGTCTCTCCTCCTCTACATCAGCTCATGGGTGGAGAAGCAGGCACCAGCAGATAAGGGCTTCAGCAGAGGGAGAAGGTCAGCCTTTCCCCTGGCACACCTGATTTCCTCTCCTCCAATAGTGCTGCTGCCATTGCCAGTTCACCACCCTCTACTGCCCAAAATATGCAGAGTTGGTTACCATGCCGAGAACGTGAATGGCGCTAAGTACACTGCAGAACGGCATGAGATGAGTTTAAAGGGAAGGGATAGTTTCCCTCTTCCCCATAAAGTCACAAAAGCTGGATAATAACAGCAACTTCCCAGACTATGTTTTCTCATGATTCTCAAGAACTTAGCACTCCGTTCAAGCTCATCATTCTATGACTATTTAAGGCAACTGTATTTCAACTTTACTAGAGATATAAATACACGTTGTTTTATTGCATAGTGGAAATACAAGTGAAGAAACTGTTTCTTAAATGCAAACAAGTGTTTATTTGGTCTGCATACATATCACAGGAGGACAATTAAAGTATCTGTCAACTTTCAAACTTCTGCTGAACAGAAATAAACTTTTTAAATGTTTTTAGCTTTAAACAAAGAAAAGTGATGGAGGGGGGAAAAAAGATTAAAAACACTCTTCACAGATGTTTGAGGTATCTGTTGGTGACTTCATGCTTTGGTAAAAGAAAGGAGGAAGCCGTGACAGCAAAAGTTAAACCCCAGAAAAATCTAATACTGTTCAATTAAGCCAAATAAAAATGACTCTTTGAAGATTAACTACACACAAATGAAAAGAGTAATTCAGGCTGAAATCCCACACCTGAACTACTTGGCTGTAAGAAAATGTAACACACAAAAATGTATTGAATATTTTGACGTACTTTGATATATTTCAGTTATGTTTTGACTTTAAGAATTAAGAGGGGTTTATTTAAATAAACTTTCAGATTACATCAAAAACAGGAAGAGACATTAAGCAGGTGCCTAATCCAAAGTGTTATACTTTTAAAAAATAAATTACATCAGCTTTTAAAATAATACTGCCTTAGTAGTAAATTATTTCTGCTGATCTTTAATGTACACCCTTGAGACAAACTTAAATGAGCTGATCTTTTGGCAAGCAGCAATATAAGGACATTAAAGTCAATTTACCACATGAAAACAAAAAGCACTGTGGTGCTGCAACTTATTTCTCAAGATGGCTCTACTTTGGGATAGCAACATCCACATGCTGCCATTGTTAATCTCCCAGAGCTCTCAGAACATGTAATAATTAAATCATGATTTATGAAACTAGACACCCTACCGTTTCTTCAAAACACTCTGGAAGTTTCTTCAAGCTCTCTCTGACATATATCAGACAGAAGTGTAGCAATTGCAGTGGTTTCAAAAACATCTCCAACTTCAGATTCAGTCAGTCATTTTAAAAGTTTCAACATGTGGAAATACGTATCATAAGAATGTATGATTTCAGTAAACACTTCAAAAAAGAATCGGACAACTACTGTTAGCAAGACCTTTTCTAAAACACCTTCAAGAGAAGAATTGTTTGAATGAAAACATTCCGACCTAAATGTTCCCCTGTAAGCTTTTAATTTAATCTCAAATCTCATACACTAAAGTTAAGCCTATTAACCTAGCATTTTCCTTTGGATCTTTGCATTGTTTCTTTTGCAACAGAGAAATTAAAGTTTCAAAGTAAAATACCATGATTTCTAGTTGTGATTTTGACTTCAAAACATACCTGGTATTATCATCTCAATGCATTTCAGAGTATGAAAGAATCCTGCAACAAAACTAACCCTGTTATTCTGAGCAAAGATCAGTAGTGCTATGAAGTCATACCTAATGGTTTTACAATGTGCAATCAAAATAATGTCCCTCATATGACTAAGCTGTCACAAGACTAAACGCATTTCACTCTGTTCTCTAGAGGGGACCCACACGAAGTACAACAGCATTCCCTGACTTCAAGGATTTCTACAGTATCTCATATCCACACTCATGTGCCTAAAAGGATGAGCACTTCTCAATCTTCAATCATCTCAAGGTGAATGGATTAAAAACAAAGAAATTTCTTCCCTTATATTCACTCAATTGCACTGACAGTCTCATAACTTATTTTGAAAAACAATTCTGGATTTTTGGATTATAATAGAATAATTTTCAAATGTATGTCATTTGAAAGCACATACAGTCCCCTGGAAAACAGCCATAGATTTACAGAAAACTCCAGAGGATTCCTGAAGAATGAACATTCTCCCCTTGTAATACCATTCACTTATTTATAAAATAACTATGAAACCTTGTCCTAGCTTTCAAATTTCATGTAATCCCACACTCATTGGTTCATAACTAAAGGTGTATTTCAATTTTACCTTGAAATGCACTGTGATGCTCCAAGGAAGGGCTGTATTTGATGCATGGAGATCAAACAGCAAACCAATTGGGTAATGCCTAAAAATGAAGAGATACTAAACATGAAAGCTGTGCATTAATTCTACAAATAACAGTTAACATACTTGCATTTACATGAAAAAAAATTAGCTGTTTGACTCCCACAATTAACATTCATTATTGCTTACTCAGAAAGGTTATACAGGTGGGTACAAATGACTGACAGTTTCTGGCAGAATCAAGTCTGGAATTTACATGGTCAGTATCTAAAGCAGTGGTCTCCCAGCTGCACCCACAAAACACTGCTAGTTTTGCAACAGCGTAAGTGGCCTACAGCTGCTCTGTGGAATCCTTCAAAACAGGATTTTTAGTTAAAAAGCTTGATAATGGTAGGAATAGTAGGTCTGACAGTAACATATACATGCTTTCAGATATTTAAATGCAATAGGTTTATACCACATTGACCCTTGACATTTCTTACCTCTCCCACCTGCCTAATGTCATTGTGGAGAATAAGTAGTAAAGTGAAAAAACCTGTAAAAGGGCTGAAAGAAGATAGATCAAGATGAACTCTCTATCTTTACTATCAAATGAAGAAGACTGGAAGGAGAGAAAAAAGATTAATTGGAGTCTTGCATTTCAGTGGTATTGTGGATTAAAGGAGTTACACAAAGAAACTGCTTTCTCCAAATAGTTATTTCTGTATTACAGCTTTGTCTACTTTAAATCCAGCAATATAAGGAATATATATCGCATACACAAAACTTCCATAGGCACTCTAAAAAGGTCTTTCTGCAAATTTTTCACAAGCAGATACTGTCAAGATTTTTCATAAAGTAGGGGTATTTTTCCATTCAGCATACCAAGCTCCATTTGTTCTCTTATGTTTCAAAAATCTTAACTAAAAGAGTGTACTAGCTTTTCGTTTTACAAAGAGATCAACACAAACTGAACTGTAAACTCAGTAGCTTCTCTGAATTAAATGAGGCTTATCACAAGACACTGTACCAAGCACGTACTTAAGTTTTGAAAATCCAGAGAGCAGTAACTGAGAGCATTGCTCTAAAAGCACCTGTGCCAAACCAATTTCCTGACCTGCTAAACTCTCACACAATGGTGTTTTAGCACCCTCTACAGGTGAGCTAACCTGAAAGCTAAAACAAAGTCACCACAACAGCAAAATAAAAAACCCAAACCAAAACTGTACTATAATTCTTGACCTTCCCCATGGCATTTGTAACTTCTTACAAGAAAGAATATGGGGAAATATCAAGAAAATATCTAGAACTGTGTTTTTCTGATACAGGGAATGTCAGTGACCAGCTGGAGTGCATGGAGCTCTACCTGGGTGTGGATGGGTAGCTGACCGAGAGCTTATGGGTCAGGATTAAAAAGAAGGCAGGGATGGGAGATGTTACAGTGGGGTCTGCTACAAGCCACCCGACCTGGAAGACCAAGCAGATGAGGCTCTCTATAGAAGATAGGAGCAGCCTCACATTCATAAGACCTGGTCCTCAGGGGGGACTTCAACTACCCCAACATCTGTTGGAGAGACAACACAGCAGGGCACAAGCAATCCACGAGGTTCCTGGAACCCACTGATAACTTCCTTCTCCAAGTGATAGAGGAGCCAAAGAGGAGAGGTGCTATGTTGGACCTTGTTCTCCCAACAAGGAGGGGCTGGTGGGGAATGTGAAGCTCAAGGGCAGATTTGGCTGCAGTGACCATGAAATGGTAGAGTTCAAGATCCTTAGGTCAGCAAGGAGGGCACACAGCAAGCTTGCTACCCTGGACTTCAGGAGAGCAGACTTGGGCCTCTTCAGGGATCAGCTTGGCAGAGTAGCATGGGATAAAGCCCTGGAAGGAAGAGGGGACAAGAAAGCTGGTTAATATTCAAGGATCATCTCCTCCAAGCTCAGGAGTGATGCGTCCTGACAAAGAGGGAGTCAGGTAAAAACACCAGGAGTCCTGCATGGATGAACAGATTGCTCCTGGACAAGCTCAAACACAAAAATGAAGCCTACAGAGGATGGAAGCAAGGACAGGTAGCCTGGGATGAATACAGAGAAACTGTCTGAGCAGCCAGGGATCAGGTTAGGAGGGCCAAAGCCCTGATAGAATTAAATCTGGTCAGGGGTGTCAGGGGCAACAAGAAAAGCTTCTATAGGTATGCTGGTGATAAAAGGAGGAATAGGGAAAATGTAGGCCCTCTCCAGAAGAAAAAAGGAGATTTGGTCACCCAGAATATAGAGAAGGCTGAGGTACTCGACAACTGTTCTGCCTCAGTCTTCATCAGCAAAGGCTCCAGCCACAGTGCCCAAGATGCAGAAGGCAAAGGTGGGGACTGGGAGAATGAACTGCCTGCTGTAGTAGATCAGGTTCAAGAACCTGAAGGTGCACAAGTCCATGGGACCTGATGAGATGCATCCACAGGTCCTGAGGGAGCTCGTAGGTGAAGTAGCCAAGTCACTATCCATCATGTTTCAGAAGTTGCAGCAGTCCAGAGAAGTTCCCAATGACTGAAAAGGGGAAACATAACCCCATTTTTCAAAAAGGGAACTATAGGCCAGTCAGTCTCACCTCTGTACCCAGCAAGATCATGGAGTAGATGCTCCTGGAAACTATGCTAGGACACATGGAAAATAAGGAAGTGATTGGTGACAGCCAACATGGCTTCATTAAGGGCAAACTGTGCCTGACAAATTTGGTGGCCTTCTACAATGGGGTTACAGCACTGGTGCATAAAGGAAGAGCAACTGACATCATCTACCTGGACCTGTAAAAAGCATCCAACACTGTACTGTACAACACCCTTGTTTCTAAACTGAAGAGACATGGATCTGATCAATGGACCACCCAGTGCATAAGGAATGGGCTGGATGGTCACACTCACAAAAGTTGTAGTCAACAGCTCAATGTCCAAGTGGAGACCAGTGATGAGTGTTGGGGCAAGTACTGTTTAACATCTTTGTGGGTGACAGGGGGATTGAGTGCACCCTCAGCAAGTTTGCTGATGACACCAAGCTGTGTGGTGCAGTCAACATGGTGGAGAGAAGGGATGCCATCTAGAGGGACCTTGGCAGGTTTGAGAGGTGGGCCTGTGCGAACCTCATGAAATCCAACAAGTCCAAGGGCAAGGTTCTGCACATGGGTTGAACCAATCCCAAGCAGAAATACAGGCTGGGCAACAAGTGGATTGCGAACACCCCTGTGGAGGATGAACTGAAGATATTAGTGGATGGAAAACTGAATGTGAGCTGGTAATGTACACTGGCACAGGTTGTCCAGGGAAGTTGCTGATGCCCCCTCCCTGGAAGTGTTCAAGGCCAGGTTGGATGAGGCTTTGAGCAACCTGATCTAGTGGAAGGTGTCCCTGTCCATGGCAGTGGGGTTGGAACTAGGTGATCTTTAAGGTCCTTTCCAACCCAAACCATTCTATGACATGATTTTATGATAAGAATATAGATAATGCATATCCAGATTTATTACGATCCACTGCTAATGCCCAAGTTCTTACTACCAAGGCTTTTTATTACTGTCAATCATGTCTTGAGTACTTCAACAGGGATTCAGCAAGAGTTCCATGAAAGAATGATTTTTCAGGTGAACTGAGTAACAAAAATCAGGTTTCCTTTGACAATTAAACATGAACAATGTTATGTAAATGTTAGTTACTTTCCAACAAAATAGCTAACTATCAAAAAAAAGGTATCAGTTCCTGGCCTACTTCTGTATTTTATACTCAGCTGAGATTACAAAATGAATTTCATGTACTCAAGCTTTCAAATCCTTGTGCTTTGCACAGTTGATATATGGGGGTTTTTTTGAAAGAGGTCAGCCCTAAATTAATTTTTTTCCATAGCAGAACAGGATATTAATGAAGAGAATAGACCATGAGAGAAATAGTTGTCTATTCAGAAGCACAGCCTTCCATTAAGAGTAGAGCTCACAGCAGGAGTGAAGTAATCCTGAAATATAAGATGTGCCCTGCTTCAAATTTAAGTTCTCACACACTGGCATTTAATCTAAAGCCAGCAGAAGCCTTAAGAAGCCTATACATAATGCCATGTCTAACTTATTTTTGAGATGTAGTTACAAGCATTTTTAAGAGTCTGGAAATAATAGCACTCCATATAACAATAATGAAGCTATTCTTTATATTTACTTCATAATAAAACCTGGTTTATTAACCAGGATAAAGAATTAAGGGAGGTACAAACAGAGAAGTTGAGAAGAAGAGAGGACTTGTCATTCTGTACATGAAATTAAAAAACCCCAACATTCCCTCACTCCATCCTTAAGAGTGTATCCACCTTGTGCTATGAGCCAGCATTCCCTCCCTAAAGATCTAGCTTCCAGTGGTACTGCTGCAATGCTGTTTCTGAACTTCTGTTTGAAAAATAAGCATTGCAATTAAAGATATATATACAAATGCTCTCTAGAACCTACAGAACCAGGAGAATGTGAAAAAGAGAATTCAAAAGACCAGAAGAGCCTTTAAAGATTTGCCCCCAAAAAAAACAGAAAACAAACAGAACAACAGCAAACTGAAACATCCAGCCCAGAGGGTATAATTTTGAAAAAACCAGTATTGGATTGCTGAAATCAAGCTGGTCTTAACTAGAGTGGGAGCCAAGGACAGGCAGATTGTGCCGAATTTTCTCAAAGAACATAAAGGGAAAAATATCAAAGAGAAAATGTCTAAGAGATCACAAATCTTTCTTTTCCAAGTTTCTAAAATAATGATTGGTTCTGGGAAGTCTTCAGTCTATAGAAGTGTAGCAGCACCTTGACTTCCAGCCATTCTCAATTTATTACTGCCTTTAATAATAGAGAGAAGGTGGTTTCACAGTGTGAGAGAAGTGCTGGAAAACACCACATTAAGTACTTAAAATATTTTTGAAAGTGACAAATGGACAATAAGGAAAATTAATTACTACTTTTATATTAATTTCATTATGAATGCAGGACAAAAAGTGACAGCATGAGTTGGTGGGTTGTTTTCAGACCAGAATAATTTACTGTGGTAATTCAGTAAGACACATCACATGAACTGGTAAATCCACGACAAAAAATCCTACGCTCTAGAACTGTCTGGGGTACCAAATACATCAAATGGCCAAAATCTGGTGCTTAGGTATTTCTATGAACAAATGTTTCATTGAGGGAAATTTTGGCTGCATCAGAAGATAGTTGTACCTTTTCCCTTAGTATTCAATATGAAATAAATTTTTCTTAGATCTTTTAAGCAAATGCTAGCATTTTCAAACAACGTGTCAGCTATGCCTGATCAAATGGTGCTTTGACCTTTTGTCTTCCAACGATTCCTGATTAATAGGGGTCAGGCACCCATTCACCTGCACAACTACAATGGCTAGAGCACAATCCATAGAAACAGGACAGAAACTGTTGAAGATCAGGCAAGCCGTCAGATAGGATGGTAAAAAGCTATAGGGTGTCATCTCCTAGCATCTGCTGAAGAAACCATTGCTGGCACATCAGAGGCCTTCACTCAGGCTGAGCTGAGTGAGGATGCAGCTCTCCAGGTTTCAAGCTGCCAGGAAAGCTTGGCACCTCTCCTGAGTGCTAGAGCAAGCAGAGAATATGTCCTTGCCTAGAGGACATTTGTGTGCTAGTGGAGGAACTATGTCACTAAGTTAAGGAAATGCAGGATGTCAGTTGGTTGCACAGCAGCAGGGAAGATAAAGAGACTGATGGCATCTTCACTGAGGTCTTGCGGAGGTGAGAGCCTGAACTCCCAGCTGCACAGAAAGAGGGTCTGTAGTCATTGGAGTGGTGAATGGAGAAGCACAAGATGGTGAAGGTCGGAGTCTTGCAATGTCTGGCAAGAGAAGGCAGTTCCTTCTCTACCTGCAGTCAGTGCCTCAATAGAAGACAAGGGGCTGGAAGATCTGAGGAAGCATCAGAGCAGCCTGAACAGCACATCCACACCAAGAAGCATCAGTCGTAGCAGTAGGAGACTCCCTCCTACAGGGGACAGAGCTCTCCCCTCTCTGCCAATCTCCTTGCTACCTGCAGAGGTTTGCTGCTTGTTAAGAAGTTGCAGATAGACTGGCAAGGTTTGTCCTGCGTTTGGATTATTAGCCCTTGCTGTTCAACCACATGGGCACAAATCATAAGCACTGTAAAGGAACCCTTGAGTGTATCAAGATTGACTATACAGCTTCATGGGCAAGGTAGCAACTCCACAATTTTGTCACTGAAGAAGAAAGTCTCAGAGGCATGACTGCTGGTCAGTAACTGCAGGTCAACAACTGGTTGAGCAGCTGGTGTGACAAGGACTTGGCTTTTACAGCCACAGGACACTTTGGGGATAAAGGACCACTAGGGAGAGATGGAATCCACCTAAATGGGACAAAAGTATCTTTGCCTTTAGGTTGGCCAGCCTGGTGAGGAAAGATTTAGAGCATAAACAACAGGGGTGTGAGTAACAACCTACAGACAAGTAGAAATTAATGGACATGGGTGGAAAGCAAGTGATGAAAGATGAGAGATACAAGGCAGATCTCAAAATGATAAAAGAGGGTAGAAGAGAGTCTACCATAAATGTATGTATATAAATGCACACAGCTTGGGAAACAAGCAGGAGAAACTAGAGCTCCACATGCAGTGCCATAACTGTGACAGAGTTGGGCTACCTGATATATAGTGAAACAGCCTGCACAGCTGGAATGCTATTGTAGATGGATGGATGCAAGCTGCTCAGGAAAGACAGACAGGGTAGATGAGGGTTGTCTTCCGTGTGAGGGAGCAACTTGGATGTACGAAACAACGGGCAACAGGTTGATTGAGATCTTGTTTTGGATCAGTGGAGAGATTAGTAAGGTCAACATCATGGAGAGTTTGTTACAGATCATGCAATCCAGTTGAGAAAGTATATAAAGTCTTCTTTAAGGAACTCAAGAAGCTCTGACATCAGTTGGAAAAGCAACATGGTGGGACACAAGTAGGCAATATTTCTTGATGCAGGTATTGGATGGACCAGAGCTGACCCGCAGCTGAATCTTTTACTTACTAACAAGACAAAAGTTCAAGTTCAAGATCCTGGACAGAATGACAAAGGAGAGTAAGCGAAATACAGACCTTTGACTTCACTTGCCACTTCCTCCTGGTATCCCTGCACAGTTCAGGCTCAGCCACCTCAGATGCATCATTGAACAGAGGTTCAGTCTCTCGCCTGTAGCCAGAGCACTGAAGCTATCCTGTTGTTACAGAAATGCAGGTGGAAAAGAAGCCTCCCTCGTGCTGCCAGAGGTCACAAGCTTCTAGCCCTTCCATATCTTAGGAGACTATTTTCCAGTACAGTAATCAATGACTCTGCCTTTATCTCCTTTAATGTCATTGTAGGTTTAGGCTCCTGTAGCAGCACAATCTCTGAGAAGATCTGATCCACCTTTTTCTGTAGTCTCTGGCGCTGCACAGTTTGATGACTTCTTCCTGCAGCTCCTTAATTTGGTGACACAGACCCTCCTGAAGCACATGCCTCCGGTAGGCAAAGAGACCATCTTCCCCTGTGCCAATAGCCTCAGCAGGAGGCATCAGGCCCCTGTAGCTCCAGATCTGGAGAACTTCATCCTCCTTCAGGAGCCTGGCCTGAGTGCCATAAAGTTGAAACTATGTTTCAGACTTCCTCCAAAATCTCACTGGAAAACAGATGAGTTGCAGCTGTAGACACACGCTACATCCCAACCACCTGGTTGAGACCACACAGACTGTAAGCAGTATCACCTCACAGTGCAAAGTAAACAATTAGAATAAGCAGGATCATTAGCAAATGCTATTTGATTCTGAATGCAGAAGTTACATTTAATGCTTATTATCATTTTCCTACAAACTACTAGGTCAATCTAATTCTCAGTTCTGGTATTTGGGTCTTCCTTGGAACAAGCTACAGCTATTTAGGGGATTACCATTCTGGGGATTAACAAAATAATGGTTTGCAGATAGCATTTTCCTTCGAAAAGCAATTCCACTGAAATCAGTGGAGCTGTTCCTGGAAGAATATACTTAGATTTTCTGAAAGATTAGAGCCTTAATTAGGATATCATAATTACACTATTCACTTTAATTTAAATGTTCAATGAGTTTACTAACTCTTAATTTTAGAATTATAATTTATATTTTTACTCTATACCTACATTCTATATTTTTTTCATTCTAGTTTAAACATCATAGTATTTGAAACCTTACAGAAGATACAAATGTATTTTTGGTTGAAGTAAAAAGCCTCTCTTTCCTTTCTTGTTACAACTTCATTATAAAGTTTCCTCCCATTGTCTGCCTGAGATTATGAATATACTGGAACAAACTTGGTACCTTGATGTTTATTTAGATAGTATCCATGTCTCAAGCTCACTACGGCACAGCAAGATACCAACTATTGTTAAATTCCAGATAATTTAAATAGAAGTCTAAAGCTGGTTTTGCCAGCCAGTTCTGAAAGAGTGAATAAAGCTAGTTTTTATGCTTCTCTATTCACATATTTTTCAAGGTTTACACAAGGTTGGTCTCAAAGAAACAAAAGACTAGAAGACATCTACTGCATCACCAAGTCTAAAGGGACTTCATGATGTGATGCTTGCTAACCACAAGACAATCCAGGTTCAAGAAGCTAAAACAGTCACTGTTTTCTTTCCTATTATGGTACAGGAAATAAAAAGAGATAATAAAAATCTCTTCAGCATTCAAAATACTAAATACTTTCTGGAGAGCTGATGCTATCTATACAGAGCTAGCAAACACTGCAGCTCTCAAAATGTTTTCCTTAAAACTCTTTATGGCAAATATAGAAAGATATAAAATCTGATGAATAGTATTTATGAAAACCAAGTAAATGAAACAATGCCGGTCTGATTCCCCAACCTCTCAGGAAAAAAAAAAAAAGATTTAACAGATCATATAACAGAACAAAAATAGAATCAAGAGCAATTAGTTCAATAAAGTTGAACTAACTGAATTCAAAAAAGCCAGTGTGTCAGTATTAGATTATCTATTTTACAGTACAAGCAAGTATCACACCAGCAAGAGGTGAAGGTTATGCACATTTTACTATATTTAAGCATATATCCTGTTTGCATTCAAACTCAAAAAAAAATACTCCCTATCTGTGTTATTAGGCATCTTTTAAGAAGGTAAAATAAGCTAAAAAAAGATTTATTTGGCAGTTCTACTGCAAAATACAGTAAAGCCAAAGCCACAGACATTTGCTGTTACAGTAACTAGAACAAAAGCAATAGGTGCAGCACAGCCTCTAATTCATACATATAGTAATTACAAGCAGAATAATCAGAAATATGTTCAACATTAAACATTATTCTGTTTTTCCCAGAAAACATGCTTTTCTTACACTCCTCTTTTGCCATCTTTGAAACCCAACGGAGCAATTTAGTTGAGGAAAAGAACTGGCACTGTGTGGTAATTCTTTATATGATAAATTGAGTAAAGGTACAAAGCTAAACTCACCATTTCAGGGGTGTACCTTCATATTCAAACCATATTTCACTAACTTCCTCTTGTCTCATAACTTTTTGAAAGTGTTTCTTCACTTTGTCTGTTACCAGTGTCAAGTAGCTTATCCTTGGCAAAAGCAACTGAAAGAAAAAAAATTATAGAAGCTTTATGTATATATAAAATTTACTAAATTAATAAAAATCTGTAACAAGTATGCATTTTCATAACCAAAATTCTGTCAGCGTTCTTTCCCCCCCCTTTAAGGTAAAATGTATTTTGGACAGTTTAATAATAGTCGAAAGACTATAAAATTATGTACTCAGAAGATGCAGAACAGTAGTATCCAATGAACATATACAAGTAAAAAAATAAGTTATTGATTCTTTTGATGTGGTGGGAGGAAGAAGAGTGGAATTTATTTCTGTTTTTCTGTATTTAAGCAGGTCAAAAAATGAAGTTTTTAACCTTCTTCATATGAACAGAGAGGAACATGTTCTAACTTCTTATTGAATATAATGAGGAACTGTATATCAGCTATTATTTCAAAATGTAAATTCCTACAAAATTTAAAAAAGAAAAGAACGAAAACTAGCTGCTTAGGGATTTGGCTTCCAAGTGAGTTTTATATTTCCAATAACCGACAATTTCCATTTTCTTTGCACTGGGTTTGCCAGTGCAACATGTTAGTCAAGGCTACCATGATTTTTCCATTATTTATTCTTTGCCCAGCTTCTAAAATCAGAAAGAAAACTGTCAATATTTTACCAGCTGAAACAAGACACCTTCTTATAGCTTTTCTGGTATACTGTAATTTTTTCTCAAGTGTAATGTTATGTACTATCCACAACAGAATTATGTGTTATTATTTGCAACCCCCTCCCCCCACCTTTTTTTTTTTAAGTCTCATGCCTAGTAACAGTGGTTAAGCAGATTGCATCAATCAGCATACTGACTGGTGACTGTATAGCACATTTACTTAAAATGAATCAGTCCATAAGCTTTAACGAACAATGCCTTTCAGTATCCCAATGAGAAAAGATTAATCTCCCTGTGAAATAACATCTAGCTTTAAACCATTTTAATCATATTCATCCTGTAAAGTTATTTTCATTTCCTAATTACTAATAAAATAGATGGGTCTAAGGAATAGATAGAAATAAATTATACTTTGCATATTTAGAGAAAAATAAACATTTGTTTTCCAGTACTCCTCATAACCAGTGTTGTTCCTTAAAATAGTTTCTTTATATTATATGGATAATGCTAGGCCTTAAGTGAATGTCTATAGTATAGACATTGCAAACTATGTAAGGATATATTTAGCTGACAGAAAACTTTATCTCGGCTGCAACATTCTTCCAGAATCTCTCCAATAATTAGACCACAAGCTGATATATAAATAAGATAACATTTTGGCCATGATACTACAATTTATTTATAAATATCAGATTCACAAAGTAGTATGGAGAGTAAATCAAGTGCTTATGAAAAATAAGATAATGCTGCGTTAGGTTACTAATTTGCATTAGGTTACTAATTTGCATTTCACACCTGTGAAACAACTAAATTTTAGGATTATATAAAACTACAAAAGATCAAGCTTCACCACTATCACAGTAATCAAGTCAATTATCACTCAATCTTTTATGTACCTTAAGGCTTTCTTTTTACATCTGTTGCTCTTACTACCATCACCATATTGTTTACACCTTCTTTCATTGGAGTCTAATTCAGCAAGGTAACCAAACACAGCCTTCAGTTTTAAAAGGTGAACAATCTCAAATTCAACAAAGTCATGTATACACTCAAGTGAAAACTGGTACCTCTATGACTTGAATGACAAGATAATCTCCATTATTAACGTAATTCCACATATCTACATTGATTGCTCTTCAGACAACATAGTCAAGGCTATTACAATCAAACCCCAATATTTTTGGTAATACTTCCATATTATTTCTGTGTGATATTTACAGTTAAATTAACACTGACAGTCTAATATGAGACTCATTTGGATTGCTACCGAAGCCAATTTTCAGCATGCTGCATGTGGCATGGCCATACAGGAATTGATAAATATATTAAAGCATTTTTGATTGCAACAGTGTTTAACATATCCCCTTAAACTGCATAACTAACTTCCTCTGTAAAATACTTCAGTTTGTAGTGTAGAACAACAACACAACTTCTATTTCAACACACTTAGAGATCACAGACAATAACCTAACAGCATTTAACTGAATTTAACAGAATGTGGCCAGCACTCCAAATGGACCTCTCCAGAGTACAAAACCCAACAGTTAATCAGGTTAACAGGGACTGCCTGTTTTCCGGAGATGCTGAGCATTTGCAGCACCTACAGAACTCTTTTTGGTCTTCCCACCTCTTCTACCTTGCTACAGTTTTCCCCTTGCATGGGTGACATGAAAAGATCCAATTCTATCACTTCTCTATCTGTAATTATCCCAAAGATTTATAAGTATACTAAATCTGTTAAGTGAGACCTTTAAAAGCATAGTTTAAAGACATTTTCATTTTGTTACCCCTTTTAATACCCCTTCTCCACCAACTGTCTACATTCAGTGAAGGACACCTGTTGACACGAAACATTTTTATTCCAAAAATCCTGTGGGTTTTAAATGCTACTACTATTTCCTAAAAATTTTTTTTAGAAAAAAACCCTTAATGTATTTAACTATATGCTGGACTTTAGTCAATCTCTCTGACAGCAGAATCATGTCAATTGTTTTATAAAGGCCTCCATATGAAAACCATAATTCTACACACCCGTTCGCCTTCTAGACTATTAGACACTCAGAAGCTTCTCTAACACTTCAGCCATGTGGCAAGAAGCCTTCCTTTTAGGCAATGCCATGTTCTCTAGAACAATACCTCTCCCACAAACACTTTTGCTACTGACTCCTAAACCAGTCCATGCAGGCCAAGGAGGCTATACTCCTTCAGCAGCACTTCAGTGATTACAGTAATTCTTGGTTTAGGGCTATAATACCTAACTTAGAAAAAACCTACAGGATCATATGACAATACATACTAATCCAAGAGAAACATTCCACCAGGTCAAATATGCTTAATTGCCTTTTTTCTTTTTTTCTGACAAATAACCTTCTGTCAGCAGATTTAGTGCTAAAGGTTAGAACAATGCTATGAAAAACAAACACATCAAATGATGCAAGTAATGTAACAACTTCAACCTGGACGTAGAACTGATAAATCGCTACATAATCCGCTAAACAACAGAATGCCCATCTTAAATTAAATAACCTACAGTACTGAGTAGGCAAATACGCAGACAAGGTAGTATCAACGTTTCTAACGAACAGACTGAGTGCATATTTAGTATGGACTCAAGAGTTACCAATTTATATAGTGTATGAGAGAAACTCACAGGAAAGCGCATGGTATAACACATAAGCAAATAACAGAAGAGAATCCCAGGTGTGATCCAAGTTGTTTGGCAACTGACTGTCGTGCTGCTCACTGATCAATGGCAGATGAATATAACGCTTGCTGCTCACTATGCTGTGTAACAAAGAAACCTGAATGAAAAACCCACTTTCAGTTGAGCTTTGTGGCTAAGGAGCTGCCTCAGCTACCTTGTCCCTTAGAAGGGACAGACTTGTAAGAAGACTTAAGGGAAGTCTACAGCAGTCAGTGGGAGAATTGCTTTTAAGTGTCAAGACCAAGTAAGGATTCCTGAAACATTAAGTAAGGTTGGGTGCTTTTCCCTCCAGCAACCAGTTGTGTAAGCTTTCTCCCACTCGGTATAAAAACAAGAAGCTGGCATAAACTCCCTTAAAGTAGTCAAGAGTACATGGTATAAAGCCAAGTAGATGTTCATGACCTTTTGGGATCAGACCAACCATTGCAACTGTAATGAAGACAAGATAAACAAATCGCTCAGTACTAACAATTTAAAAAATAGCACTGAACATAAAAACCCCTAAAGTTCAGATTCACATGTGAATATTTAAGTCAATGACCATAGGCAAGGTAATTATTTAATCCTTTTAAAACAAACAGGTACTAGTTAAGACACAAGAATAATCAACTGGGTTTGACATGATTTCTAGCCATAGCTTTGAAAGAAATCGTGAAAAACACGCACACAATTCATATCTGCTCACTTTAAACCAAAATAGCTATACAAAACTGACAGCAGGGGAGGAAGGGGAGCAAATAAATAACACTAGGAATTCTTATAAAATTAAGAAAACAAGTCAATCTCCAAATACATTACCAGGCAGAATAAATCCTGGTAGACTAGAACATGCCATCCCCAAGATTACACAAACTGCAACACCTTTCTTTTGCATGTTGCACATTGCTACAGTATTTAATCACAATAACCAGGAATGCATTCTGCCAAGGTTAACTGAAATGCAAGAAACAACTAATGCAATGTAAGTACACGCAAGCAGTGTAAGAAGAGTACCTCTCTAGCCACTGCCACAGGTTTTGTTGCAAAGCAACACACCACTCCACATGCAGAATAGATTATAAAACTGAAAAATTCTAGATTTAACAGGAACTGGACTTGGTCTGATCACCAGTGTATCCAGTATGAAGAAACAAAGCATCCTAACATGGAATGGCTTCACGTTGTTCACTCTTACAGACATCCTAAGAAAACAACCCTTTTGACACTGGGCAAGCTTAAAGAGTGGTGCGCAGTAAAGTCTAGTCCCTTGGGCAGAGTATCATTCTAAGACTACCTTCTGCTGTAATTTTGTTCTTTACACCTGACAAATCTCAGCCAATGAGTACCCTGCTTCCTGTACACATCTTACTTCAAACTGTTGTTCACACAAAGAAGCACACAGTACACCATTTTATCTTTTTAAAATAAAAATCATAACAATATTAAGACTAGGGAAAAATCAGATAGTTCAGCAAGAAGGGTAGTTCACCCTAGCTGTTCCTAATTACGTTTTCACTCCAAAAACAAGCATCTGCAGGAAACACTCCAAAGAAACTTTGACATATCCTTTTCCAGCATAACTACCTGGTCTGACTACAGGAAGAAATAGGACAGTGTTTTACCTAAGCTGCTTAGTCATGATGTCACTGCTCTTTCCAAAAGATAGATACAAGCTCATCTTAAATTAGCTCTGCTACCCCCATGCAGTGCCATAATGTGATACACACATACACCCCTGTGTTGTGCTAAGACATCTAACAGATACAGGTCTCCCATCCCACCACTCACAACAAACTGAAATCCACCACACAGATTTGTTTTTCTAACCTCTCACTCTCCAGGTCCGTATCTTCTTCCATCTTCATAAAGCACACTCCTCAGAGCACAAGCTTTCTTCCCCTGTTAACATAACAATGCCAGCATTTCCTTCCCATGCAGCCTTCCCATTTACAGAAGGCAGTCTGGAACATAGGGGTCATACCTATATTAACAAGTACTGAGGTGTAATAAGAGAAGACACGTAAAGCTGAACAGTTGGTGTCGAGAGCTGGGAATATCCACTACATATGCTTTTTTACTTCAGTTTTAAGGATTCTGATGGTTTTTACCTCAATTTAGCTCCAGTTTGATCCCAAACACTAAATGCCCATTAGCAGCTGAAGCACATCTGCTTCAGGTTCACATGAAAATGATTCAGCTTGTGGGCTGTAAGACTGCTTGTTGGGTGATGTAAATCTGGACACAGTAAGTGGAAAGGATGAAGACTTGCTTCAGAAATGCACTCCAGATCTTAACAAACACATTAACATAAATGCACTCTGAAAACATGATTTAAAACCTTGATTGTGATTCTAACTTTCTGCTATTATAAATTCTTGGTCCCTTCAAGAAGCAAAGGTCCAACATGACCTGAAAAGGGAAGAAGCTAAAAGGTTTTTGAATTGTGATCCATGAATAACCAGATTTCGCAGAAATAGAGAATTAAGCCCTGAGAATTTTTCTGCACACTTTAAGTGGACTAAATAAAAGAAACCCCACCAGGTTAAAACTATCTCCTTGGCTTAGAAAGGTAGCCACACCACGAAGATACCATGGCTTCACGGTTTCCATGTTGATGTTAAAGAGATCAAGACTGCATGTCTCTATACTTACTCATATCTTTCATGTAGCTCCTATACAATATATACATATATATTTAAACTCTCTCTCTCTCTCTATATATATATATATATATATATATACACACACACACAATTTAAAGTCTGAGATTTCTAAATAGGTCAGATGCATTTGGCAATAGTTCAACCATATGAAGTGCTTCTGTTTTACCAGTGGTGAAAACAGCAAAAGATGAGTACTATCATCACTGAACAAAAAGCATTAATGCTTTATTAGGCTTCAAAACCCCACTGAATACACATGTAAATCAGAAACTGATGATACAAATATTTTTCTCTTGTGTTTAATAGTATCTTTATCCAGTAACATTTTCAAAAAGAGTAGAACGGGATTATGACAAGGATTTCAAAAATCACATAAAAATTCACAGTACAAGATTTTCCTCCCACATACTTGTTACATTTCAAATTTAAGTTTTACTGAATCAGCTAACATTCTCTCGCAATCAAACGTCTATTAGGTGCCAAAAGAACAAAAACTGCTGAGTATGCTATAAATAAATACCACATGATTACAGAAGGCACTTCTAGTTTTCAACTCAAACACATCCATCATCCTCATTTTTATAATTGGCTAGCAATCCAGTTCAGGTACTGTACTGTTAAGACACTGTAGCTGCTCTTCCTCCATCCAAGCTAGATCATTCATGGCTGCTAGCATTTCAAGAACAAAAAACAAGCAGAAGTTGTCTGTGAAGAGAAATACTGGAGCCAGTGATGGTTACGAGTTTGTGTTACATGGGCGACTGATCATAGTCTTTAAGACTGCACAAAGCTCTGATTGAAGATATTTCTGTAGTAAGGTAAGGCAAGGTAAAAGTTTTCTCCCTTCTTCTGGTCGTTATCCAAGTACATACAAACTCAAAAGCCTCCTACTTTTACCTAATTACTTGTTGACTTTTTAATATTTTTTTTAAGATCTTAATTATCTGCAATAAGTTTCTCTCACTGGTGAAGAGAGATGAATCATGCAATGTGGTCATACAGTTTACTTTCAGAAGGTACCAGGAGTAAGAAGAAAAAAGCTGAGCTTTTTTCTTTTTTACAACATGTAGTAGAACACACGATGAGAATGAAGGAAACAAACATAACTATGGCATTGGACTATCTGTGACTACCTCCATTATACTCACATAGTAAGGTTCAGCTTCCCTTTCAGTTATTTCATCCTGATACAGAGTGAAACAGGTCGGTATTCGTCCAAACCACACATCTCGAAGTACATCTTTGTCATCTGTCATTCTTCCAATGGATAGTGAAGCACATGTAGATCAGTTTGCTTCTTCAGCTAGAACTGTAACCCCGTTCCCCCCCCAAAGAAACAAAGTCAGCACGACTGCAAATAAAATACATCCTGATGAAGGTTCCCAACGCTGCCACCGAGACGTTAAACGCATCAGTTTGGACGAAGAATGAGTTAAGGCCTCTAAGTTAACACTTTCCCAACTACAAACACGCGGTTTTGTAGCTGATGGTTTGCTAAGCCTGCATCACGCCCCAGCTGCAGAGGTAACGTCTCCCGTTACAGCCTTGCCGACACCGCGCAGCTCCCACACCCCCCTGAGGCCCCGGACCCACGGGCAGCCAGCAGAACCGGTGTCCGCAGACGGGCAGGACGGGAGGCAGCAGCGGCAACGACGAAGCGAGGAGGTTTCTAGCCGGGAGCGTCGCGGGCCGGCCCCGGGGGAGTCACCGAGGCCGCAGGACGGGCCCAGCACCGCGCTGAGACCCGGAGGGAGTGGCCCAGCAGGCTCGGGGCAGCGGCCCGGCCAGACCAG